TTTGGTGCTTTTTATCTAAAGCTAAGTCAATTAACTATTAGATAAAAGTGCCAAAAAAGCCCCACTGAAACATCTGTATAGACTGGGTGCTGGGCGAGCTGGGTCCAACTAACACACTGCCTCTTCTGGACTTGTGCTGGGCTCGGCACAAGAATGTGTGGCATTTATGTAAAATGCCATTTTTGTTGTGTTGTTTTTAATGTCTGCAAGTAGCCTTAATGGTTCCAGAACTGTGGGGTGGTTTTTTTTTTCTTTCTAAAAAAATAAAAAATAAAACTCCACCCAGGGCTTGTTTTGCTCTAGTATTTACATGTTCAGCGTACTTATTCTAGCTCACATTTTTTGTCAAAGTAAATTCCAAAGTATTTGAAATAAGACACCTCTAGTTTCTTTGCTGTAAAAACCGTACTTATTTCCTCCCTTCATTCCCAAAGACCAATACCTTGGTTTTAGCTGTGTGGATTTCCAAGCTGTTTGAGGTGCCATGCTACTCAAAAGCATCTAGTAACCCTTGGAGACCTATATGGGATTGTGACGCTATTAATGCACCATCTGCATAAAACAGGACAGGGCTAGGGTGGTTCAAATGCAAAATGATGCATGCATGGGATTGATTCACTGTTGGCATCTATTTTAGATCATTCAAGAATAAATTAAAAAGTAGCAGAGCACGCAGACGTCCTTGTCGTACTCCTGTCTTAGTTGTTAACTGTTGGACAGGGCACCGCCTATCCTATAACACAGTCTAGATGCTGCATTTGAATAGTAAGTAACAATTTATTGTAAGACGGCTTTATCCATTGATGTTTTTGCTAGCTTCTTCCATAATTTTAATGTCTGTGGAGTCAGAAGCTCCACTGAGATTTATGAAGGTTATCTACAAATGACTATCTCTTTACATGTTTAGATGCTAAATAGTGCAACCCCAAGTAGTGGTCGTTGCAGGAATAGCCTTCTGAAGAAATTTGACCTGCTGAAAAACTTAAGTTATAGAGGATGACTAAGCATGACTGGTTTCCTGCAGACACAGCTGTTCTTACCAGTCACTTGATGGGAACATACTTTGACTGCCTACCTTGCATAGTGGGTATAGTGCTGTTAGCCCAATGAGCTCATTGGAAGCAGCGGGGACTGCATTTTGAATACATGCACCTCAGCATAAATCACAAGTGAATTTGTTGACAGAGATGAACAAGCTATTTAGAGGTATACCGATATGTCGGTGACATAGCAGATTTTCCTTTTATTGGTGCCAATGAACATTATCAGCAACTGGCTTTTTTTGGTCCGTGTAGCTAATAATGTCACCATTAAATACTACAGGCATGCGCACAGTTGCAGTATGCATGTGGCCAGGAATGCAGCGTGGAGAGCAGTGCCCTGCCAGTAAGTCTGGTGGGGGAGGGAAGGGGCATAGTGGGGGCAGATCCATAGATTGTTAGGGGCTGGAAGGGACCTTGCAGATCATTTGGGTCTAGCCCCCCCAACTCTAGGCAGGAAGACAACTGGTGTCAAGTGACCTCAGCTAGGTGACTGTCTAGTCTCCTCTTGAAAACCTCCAGGGTAGGTGACTGCACCACCTCTGGAGGGAGTTCACTCCACAGTCTGGACACCCTGACTGTGAAGGCGTTTTTCCTTGTCTTAGGCCTGAAGCAGCCTTCTAGGAGTTTGTATCCATTGGTCTTGGTCTTCCCCAGGAGTGCCCTAGTGAACAGTTGTTCACTGAGCTCCTGATGCACTCCTCTGATATAGTGGTAAACTGCTATCAAGTCCCCTCTCAACCTTTTCTTTAGGCTAAAGGGGCCCAGGTCCCTCAGCCTTTCCTCATATGGCTTGCCTTGCAAGTCCCTGATCATATGGGTGGCTCTTTTCTGGACCCTCTCAAGCTTTTCCATGTCATTGAAGTGCGGCGCCCAGAACTGGACGCAGTATTCCAACTGCGGTCTCGCCAGCACTGAGTACAGCGGGGAGCATCACTTCCTTAGTTTTACATGAGATGCATCGGTTGATGCATACCAGCGTGGTGTTTGCCCTGCTGGCCACCACCTCACACTGATGGCTCATATTCATGTGATGGTCAATAATTCCCTCTTGGTCCCTTTTGGCTGTGGTGCAAGTCAAGCTGTCACCACTGAGCCTGTATGTATGTTGAGGGCTGTTTGCCCCCAGATGAAGTTTAACACTTGCAAGTGTAAGGTGCTCCATCTGGTTCCAGTTTGCCCAACTCTTGAGCCTGTCCAGGTCTGCCTGTATCTGCAACCTATCTTCTGATGTGATCACACTGCCCCATAACTTGGTGTTGTGTGCGAACTTGGCCAGCGAGCTTTTCATTCCCCCATCCAAATCATTCATAAAGATGTTGAAAAGCACCGGTCCAAGAACAGACCCCTGAGGGACACCACTGGCCGCTTCGCAGTAGGATGACATGGATCCATTCATGAGAACTCTTTGGGTCCTACCCTGTAGTCATTTTCCCACCCACTGAATTGTTGAGCAGCTGAGCCCACAATCTTCCAGTTTTCCCACAAGGGTATCGTGGGATACTAGATCAAAAGCCTTTTGACAGTCTAGGTATATAACGTCTGCCTCGTGTCCCGGTGGTGAGAGATCTGGTTGTAGAAGGAAATGAGATTGGTAAGTCAAGACCTACCCGCAACAAAGCCATGCTGGCTGCCTTTCAGAATCTTGCCTTCCACGAGCGTATCGCACACAGATTTATATAAAATAAAAAATCTTCCAGGATTTTCCCTGGGATAAAGGTTAGGCTGATTGGCCTATAGTTGCCTGGTCCTCCTCCCCCTTCTTGAAGATGGGCACAATCTTGGCCCTCTTCCAATCCTTGGGGATCTCCCCTGTGCACCTCGAATTCTGAAAGAGCTTCGCTAGGGGTTCTGTGATGACCTCAGCCAGCTCCTTCAGTACTCTCAGATGAAGTCCATCCGGTCCTGCTGACTTAAATGTCTAGCTTTTCTAGTTGGTATTGCACTCACTCAGCATGCACAGTGGGAAGGCTGTCATTCCTGGCATGCGCCCTGTGAGCCTTATCTTGCTTGTCTTTCCCCATGGTCCGGTGAAGTACAGAACCAAAGTGGGCATTCAGGAGTTCAGTCTTTTCCTGAATGTTGCTTACCAGCTGCCCCGAGGTGTTAAGCAGGGGTCCCACACTTCCATTTGTTTTCCTTCTACTGCCTACATACCCAAAGAAGGACGTCTTATTGTCCTCGAGTCCTGTGGCTAACCTAAATTCAGTCACCTCTTTGGCTTTCCTGATCACTTCTCTACAAGTGCTGACCACTAATATATAGTCATCCTTGAGGACTGTCCCTAGTTTCCGCTGTGCGTACACCTCTTTCCACCCCCAAAGAGGACCGCAATGTCCCTATTAAGCCAAGAGGGCTTGCCAGCCCTTCTGCTTACCTTTCCTCTTTGCAGGAACAGTTTTCTTTTGTGCTTTGAGGATTGTATCCTTGAGCAACACTCACTCTCCGTGCACCCCATTTGCCTTCCCTTCATGGGCCTGCATCGCCTCCCCTACTAATGCTCTGAGCCTGTTGAAGTCAGCATTTTGGAAGTCTAGGACTTCAGTCCTGCTGGTTGATTTGTCAACTTTGTGGTGGATGGTGAACCTGATAACTTCATGGTCTTTGTCGCCCAGGTTACCCTCGGTGTTCAAGCCATACCCCAGATCACCTCCCTTGCTCAAGACCAAGTCTAGCAGAGCATTACCTCTGGTTGGCCCTTGCACTTCCCGGGTTAGGAAGAGCTCCTTGATCACAGTCAGGCAACTGCATGAACAACGTGACCTAGCCAAGTGTTCCTCCCAGTCTGTGTGGGGCAGTTGAAATCACTCATGACAAACAAGTCTCTCTTGCACGCATGGCCTCTGTCAGTTCAAAGGAACTCCCAGATCCAGCTCCTCCCCTTGGTTCGGTGGCCTGTAGTAAATGCCTACAGTTAGGTTTCTCTAACTTTGCGC